TCCCCATAGCAGAGGTGCTCCAGCGTCTCAGGTGCTCTGAGCATCTTGGTGGCCTCCTCTGGACTTGCTCCAGTAGCTCCATGTCCTTATGTTGGGGGGCCCCAGAGCTGGACACAGAACTGCAGGTGGGGGCTCACAAGAGTGGAGTAGAAGGGGAGAATCCCCTCCCTTGACCTGTTGCCTACACTTCTCTGGATACAGTCCAGGATATGGTTGGCTTTCTGGGCTGCCAGTGCACACTGCCGGCTCATGTTCAGGTTCTCATCCACCAGTACCCCCAAGTCCTTCTCAGGGCTGCTTTCTATTCATTCTCCACCAAGCCTGTACTTGTGCTTGGGATTGCCCTAACCCAGGTGCAGGACCTTGCACTTGGCCTTGTTGAACTCCATGAGGTTGGCAGTGGCCCACCTCTGCAGCCTGTCAAGGTCCCTCCGGATGGCATCCCTTCCCTCCAGTGTGTCGACTGCACCATACAGCTTGGTGTTGTCAGCAGACTTGCTGAGTGTGCACTCGATCCCACTGTCCCTGTTGCTGACAAAGATGTCGGATGTCACCAGTCCCGATACCGACACTTGAGAAATGCCACATGTCACTGTTCTCCACTTTGACATCAAGCTGTTGACCACACCACTTCGAGTGTGGCTATCCAACCCATTGCTTAACCACTGAGTGGTCAATCTCCAGTTTAGAGACAAGGATGTTGTATGGGACAGTGACAAATGCTGTGCACAAGTCCAGGCAGATAATGTCAGTTGCTGTTCACTTATCCATGTCATAGAAGGCCACCAAATTTGTCAGGCACGATCTGCCCTTAGTGAAGCCATCTTGGCTGTCACCAATCACCTCCTTATTTTCTATTTGCCTCAGCATAGTTTCCAGGAGGATCTGTTCCATGATCTTGCTGGGCACAGAGGTGAGATCGAGTGGCCTGTAGTTCCCTGGGGCTTCTTTTTTTTTTTTTTTTTTTTCCCTTTTAGAAATGGGGGCTACGTTTCCTCTTTTCCAGTCGGTGTGAACTTCACCAGACCACCACGAATTCTCAGATATGATAGATAGAGGCTTAGCAACCTCATCTGCTAGTTCTTTCAGGATCCGTGGATGTTATTTTATCAGGTCGCATGGACTTGTGCACCCTCCAGGTTCCTTAGGTGCTCCTGAACCTGGTCTTCTCCTACAGTGGGTGGTTCTTCATTCTCCCAGTCCTTGCCATTGCCTTCTGTGACTTGGGTGGTGTGGCTTGAGCACTTGCTCATGAAGATTGAGGCAAATAAGTTGAGTGCCTCCATGTCCCAAATAACCAGGTATCCTGTTTTCCTTCCAGAGAGGGCCCACAGGTTCTCTAGTCTTCCTTTAGTCACCAACGTAGCTATAGAAGCCTTTCTTGTCTGCTGTTGGCCACAAAAATCTGGCTAGATTTAGTTCTGTAGGTCTTTAGCTTTCCTAACCTGATCCCTGGCTGCTTGGAAAACTTGTCTGTATTCTTCCCAGGCTACCTGTCCTTGCTTCCACCCTCTGTAAGCTTCCTTTTTGTGCCTCGGTTTGTCCAGGAGCTGCTTGTTCATCCATTCAGGCTTCTTGGTGTTTTTGCCCAGCTACCTCCTTTTTGGGATGCATCACTTCTGAACTTGGAGGAGGAGATCCTCAAATATTTACCAGCTTTCTTAGGCCCCTCTTCCATTCAGGGCTTTATCCCATGGTATTCTACCAGGTTAGGTCCCTAAAGAGGGTGAAGTCTGCTCTCCTGAAGCCCAGGGTAGCAGGCTTGCTGTGCACCCTCCTTGCTGCCCTAAGGGTCTGGAACTCCACCATTTCATGTGTGCTGTAGCCAAGCAATGCCCAAGGCATTCCCCTCCAGCGCCCCACCAGCGCCTCCCTGTTGGTGAGAACAAGGTCCAGCATGCGACCCCTCCTCATCGGCTCCTCTGTCACTTGGAGAAGTAAGTTAAGACCAATGCAGGAACCTCCTGGATTAGTTATGCCCTGCTGTGCTGTCCCCCAGCAGTTATCAGGATGGTTGAAGGTCCCCCATGTACACCAGGGTTTGTGAGCATGAGGTTGCCCCTATCTGTCCATAGAGGCCTTATCTGCTCAGTCTTTCTGGTTGGGTGGCCTGTAGCAGACCCCCACTGCAGTGTCACTTGTCTGTGCCCTCCCATTAATCCTGACCCATAAGGTCTTGTTGGGCTCCTCATCCATTCCCAGGCAGAGCTTTGTGTACTCCAGATGGTCATTGACAAAGAGGGTGATGCCCCATCTGTGTCTCCCCTGCCTTCCTTCCAATGGAGTCTGTATCCTTCCATTCCAACACTCATGACAGGAGCCATCCCACCACGTCTCTGTGATGCCAGTAAGATTGTAGCCCCGCAGGCATGTACATGTTTCCAATTCCTCTTGCCTATTCCCCATGCTGCATGCGTTCCCGTAGAGGCGTGTAAACTGGGCCCCTGATGAAGCTGACTTACTGAATTACACAGAAAGGATCCCAGGTGCTTCCTGGCCCTTCAGGCTACACCCACACTATTGAAGTGCGCTCGTGCAGTGGTCTTTGTGATGATAAATACTTGTTGCTCCTTAGTATGAAGAGGATTAGTATGCAAGTTTAAGTAATAGTGTCTTCAGTACCTTGTCAGCATGACTGGAGTACTTCAGCTTAAGAAGTATTCTGTTGCCTGAAGCAAAGGTGTTGGCTTTGGGATTTTGCTTTTCTTTGGGGGAGTACTTTTTTTTTTTTGAGATTTATTCTAGTGGCTGGACATGAAGGCTGATATCTTGGAAGACACAGTTATAACTAAAGAATCAGAAATCAGAAAAATGAATGTACTGCTTAGGTGGATTGGTCATTCTGGCCATCTGTTTTAGTTTATCAGTTAGGAGATGGTAGGGGTGGAGAGCAGTTTTGAAGCTGCTGTCTGTGCCTTCTTTGATGGTTGTGATACAATTCCTTCTTTGGTCTGGAGTAAACTTTCTGGTTTGTACATACTTTTGATTCAAAGCTCTGAAGGTGTAGAAAAATAAGGTCTGAAACATCTTTGCACAGGGCTAGTTGTTAAATATACTTGTATATGAACATATAGATACGTTCTGTATCCAAGGTCAGTGAGGAGTGAAATGTGCCTGAGTGCAATTCAGGTAGAGCATGTCATTCAGTCACTCAGCAGAGATCAGCCTGAAGAACTGCTCTACAATGCTGAGTGGCGTTTGTCTGCTCCTGTGCTGGCAGTGTGGCATTGTTTGCTCTCATCAGAGTTCTACAGTTGTCTGTTCTCTCCAGAGATAGCACTCCTAATAATGAGGTCGTTCTCTCTGTGTTTTCTGCTGTGGCCGATAGACTCAGGATTACCACTGTTCAAATCCCGAGTCAGAAGTTTCGGACTTCTCAAACAAGCATGTCCTTAGCCAGAAACGCAGGACGTAGTATGCCTTCCATAAAGCTCAGTTGAGCCTACTGTTCTTTGGTTTTAGTAAGTCTATTAGGTCTAAAGATTGTCTGTTAGAAGATGGAAATCATTCTATCAGTTCTTTAATTGATAATACAGAACGAATAAATGGTTTCAAAGATATTCATAGTCCCCTCACCTGTGACAGAAATGGCTCATGATGGACTGGCTGAGCCAGGAGCTGTCACAGAAGGTGGGGCTTTGAGAGGGGAAGGGGCATAGGCAGAGAGAAGGGGGGACACAGCAGAACGTTTTTGGGCTACTTGTTAGTCTAAAGCAGAAGGATCTATCGCATTTGCGTTGCATTACATCATTGATGAGATGCCTTAGATACAAGAGGGAATTCTGATGTTCCTCATGATGGACTGGCTGAGCCAGGAGCTGTCACAGAAGGTGGGGCTTTGAGAGGGGAAGGGGCATAGGCAGAGAGAAGGGGGGACACAGCAGAACGTTTTTGGGCTACTTGTTAGTCTAAAGCAGAAGGATCTATCGCATTTGCGTTGCATTACATCATTGATGAGATGCCTTAGATACAAGAGGGAATTCTGATGTTCTGGCAGT